CTCATATGAGTTATTAGTGTTCCAGATGTTTAATTTTGCCGAAAATTTGCAATACATATTTATTTCTCTATTACTTTCGTAGAACTTGCAATAGGCAGCGACTATAATTTATTCCCCTAATGTAAGGGGAGTTTTATGAGTTTACTTCAACAATTTTTTCTATAAGAAACTTGTAGGACCGTATGTTTTTCATGAAATTTTCCATCACCAAATCTCAGAGTGACTACTGTATGCGCTCAATAGCTTCACGAGTTTCACCTTTGGGGTGATGAATCGACTTTGACCTGTTGGCGTGGACCTTATCTGTCACGTGGCCCCAGAGGAAGAAGTCGCAAGGTGCTAAATCACAACATCTCGTTAGTCAATTGAGATCACCACTTCTAGAGATAACTCGCACCGGATACTTTTCCCTTAAAAGATCGTTCGTTTCGTTTCTGTATGGCACGTAACGCCGCCTTGTTGAAAGTAAACATTGTCCAAATCAATACCATCCAATTCATGCCATTCATTCATTAATCATTCGATAGCGCTATCCATTCATTCACCGTAACTTTTGCTTCAGCCTCACTTTCGAAAAAGTAAGTTCCCATGACCCTGCCAGACCATAAACCGCACAAATCAATTTCACGTTGAGAATGGATTAGGCGTTCCAAAAATAAATCTAAGGTTTCCCGAGACCCAAGTGCGACAGTTTTGCTTATTGACATAGCCATCGAGGAGCAAATGGGCATCAACAGTCAAGATGAGGTTTTTGTGGTATTTTAGTTTTCAAACCATCAATATTTTGCTAGTATGAGGATCTATTACCATTTGGCTTGCTATTTTTAGCTACTTTCAGTTGTGTTAACCAAACAAAAAATAACAGTCAACGTGTTGCTTGAGAGTTAAGACCAGATCACAACAATATCATTTCTATTTCCTTTCTTATTTGACAACCAACGTAGAAATTCTCTGAAATCCAGAAGAATTCATTGAAAATAATCTCTCATGAGATAGATCCAAAAAGTTTTTATAGTTAATTTTCATTTTTAGGCCTTAGGAAAATAAATATTTTTTAAATTTAAACCGACGACAATACATAACCATATGAATTGAGTCTGACGAACTTTGCCAGGGTCGAACTATAGTTGTTTGTAATACTAGACTCCAGTCTAAGAAAATTTACTAAGCGACCTGGTTAACTTCGTAAATAAAGACTCACAACCAGATCGATCAGGACTCATCTGCAGACAAAACGGAAAGAGACTGAGACGCAAGAGTAATGCTCGAAAATTATTCCAAAAGATTCAGCAACTTATAGAAAGTCTCAAGGTCGGCAAAAATTTTAGAAAAGACCTAAAGAGGTTATCTAGTCACTGATGTCCAGATTATACTGAATTTATGGAGGGAATGCTTCTTCTGCCAGCTGAATGGCAGTGAAAGTTCAAAGTTCGTATAGTAGCATCTTGGACTTCATTATAACTAGCAATTCTCACAGTCTGATCACAGGTTTGATCAGAAAAATGAAATAATCATTGGCAATACTGTGGGTGCAACAATGTAGCCACGGCATACATTTTATACAAACATATGGGTCAGTATACCCAACTTTTCTTCACCCCTTTTCTCAGTTCTACCAATGCATATGTTGCAATAGCTTTTGTGGAGACTCAAGGGTAAGTTTTCGCTGTCAGATTTTTTGACATATTTGCGGGCGCCAAAAAATGCAAAGAGTGGGTATGAAAAAGAAGAAAACCAACATTAATTTTTCTCTTTTATTTTTTCGGGTTTTCCATTGAGTTGTTTGCTTCACATTGATTTGTTGGTTTTGCTGGTAGCTGCTGTCACCATTTTATAGTTTTTCATGCTGAATTTCACGTTTCTGATTCAAGCTGATGCAAGCAATTTTTAAAAGGTATATTAAAAAGAGAATGTAAATATATTTTATTCTGAATTTTTCGCTGAACAATATATTCACAAAACAAAGGCGATAAACGGTTGGTAATAAAGTATTAAACACATGAAAGGGGCATTTGTTGTGCCTACGGACGCATCGAATTTATTTGTTTATTCTAATTCAATTTTTTTTTCTATATTTTCTAAAAATCTATATATTTTTTTTGTTAAATTACAAAAAAAAAAAAATGAAAACAAAAAGAAGCGAAACAAATTTTCATTCATTCATTGTCAGCGGCATAATGTTTAAATTTGTTGTTAAGCGTTTCTTAACAACAACATTAGCTATTTGATAGCTCAACTATATAAAATAACTTTACTAAAAAATAGTTTGGCTTTGTTGGTGTGAGCATGGAACTAAAGAAAAGCATGGACTTTTTAACTTAGAACTGAGTAACTATTTTTGTTAGGAGGTCATGTATGAGCCACTATTTATTCGAGCAATCGGTCATTTACACATGCATATTTTTCAGCGCGAATTCACACTTCTTTTGTTGACATAAACGGTCTTTTATTTATTTTTTTTAACATTTTTAGCTGACTGCCATCCTGTTGCTTGAATGACACAATTTTATGTACATAAAATATAAAACTAAATCTACTATTACTATATCATAAATTCCCACAATATATGTAAGTACTCGTATATTTAAGTATGTGTAAATCTCTTTTTTATTTACAAAGAACTAAAAATGTACTTACAACGTACAAATGATATGCCCGTAATTGTACGTATGTTAAAATGACAACTTCACATGAGTAATGTGATTTTTATGCCCCAATACAGTCAGCTCCGGTTAACAAACTAACGCATACTAAAGAAAACGCATACTAATAAAAAAAGACATAACTACACACAAAAGTGCTTTTACAACGTTGTAAAAAATGTTATGAAATTTTATCGAGAGAGCGGAAATGATTTTTATAACCGTGTAATGACTTCTTCCGTCTGAGGTCCGGATATTCGTAAACGTAAATAGAATTGTATGCTTATTATTAAACGCACACTTTTCTTTCGGATGGTAAGTGTTGTTGTGCAACTTTTTTTTCAATTTATTTCATTTCATTTCTTTTTTATTTTAATTATTTTATACTTTACTTATTTTAAAAGCAATTTAATTTTCATCGCTGAACTTTCTTTTTTGATTTTTTCCTAATTTTATATTAATATACTTGAAATAATTTAAGTTGATTTTGTTCTATTGTAATAATTAATAATTTATTTTTTTTTATTATTTTTTTAATTTAATGTATTTTATACATTTTTTTATTAATTTAAATTATTTTGTTTATACAAGTATGAGCTTATTCCGATTTATTTGAATTCATTTTGTTTTAATTTTTATTTTAATGAATGTTTTTATATTCTATTGTTCATATCATATTATTATTATTAGGTTAGAACATATAACATCATTTCATTCATTTTATTTTATTTTTGCTGTGATCTATAGTATATATTTGCTTTCGATTTATCTTAATATATTGTACTAGTATTTAATTTAACTTAGTTCACTCCATTGTTAACATATTTTGATTTTAATTTTTATTAAGTAAACTACGAGTTTGATTTTAATTTGTTAAATCAATATAAAAAAGTAGTTTTTATTTTGTTTTATTATATTATATATCACTTCGTTTTATTTCATTCCATTTTGGTATATTTATTTTTTTTTTTGTTAAATTTTAAATTTTTTTTTAGTTTTTATTTTATTCTATTTATTTGTATTCGAATTTAAAACAATTTCTATCAAATTAATTTACCATATTTTATTTTATTTTTCTTAAATTTAATTTAATTTTTTTTATTTTGTATAATTTTACTTTTTTAGTATATTTCCCAGTTTTACATCATCTTTTATCAATTTTATTTGTTTTTATTTTTCTTTTAGTTTAGTTTTTATTTCACTTTTATTTTTAATTGTAGAATTGAGTTTTATTTCATTTTATTTTATTTTGTTTTATATACTTTTTTATTTTATTTTGTAAAATTTTTTTTTATCTTACGTTATTTTATTATATTATATTTTATTTTATTTTGTAAAATTTTATTTTATCTTACGTTATTTTATTATATTTTATTTTATTTTTTACGTTTAAATTTTTAATGTAATTTTTAAATTCTTTCAAATTTAAATAAATTTTTACCAATTTAATTTAACATATTTTCTTTTATTATGCTTTAATTTAAATTAGTTTTATTTTATTTTGTAAAATTTTACATTATTTATTTCAGTCACTCAACTGTCTTTCTCTTCATTTTATTTTATTTGTTTTTAATTTTCATTTTATTTAATTTTAATTTATTAAATTCATTTTTATTCCTTTTTATTTTACTTAATTTTATCTCATTTTGTTTTATTTTATTTTATCTTTATTTGTTTGAAGTTATTTTATTTTACTTAGTTTTATTTTATATTATTTTATTTATTTTGTCCTATTTTGTTTTTTTTTAACTTAATTTACTTTAATTAAATTTAATATATATTTATGTGGAATATCTAGTTTACTTCATTTTAATATATTTTAAAATAAAAAGATGAATTTGTGCAATCCAGTTTAATTAAAAATTTATCTTGATTTTGCTTAACCGAAATGAGTATATTATTTTTTTTGTTTTTTTTTTTTGTTCTTAGTTTCATTTCAGTGAATTCCCAGTAATCCTCACAACTAAAAGCAGATATACGTATTATTATTCCGCATTTACTAAACGGCCAGCCGAACTTTCCCACAACTTTGCCTTTAACTTTTTAGTTAAGGTTTTTCTTAAGTAAACAAATGTGTACGTGCTGTCATGCAAACAGTGGCCGAGAAGTTAAATAAGAAGTGAAATGTAAATAAACATATGTGAAAAAACGACAAAAATCAAACTAATGTCACTCCCTTTTGTCAAGCTTATTTATGCAAGGCGACAGCCGGCATTTTGTGTCCTTAAGCGAATGCCCAATGGGCTTTATGTGTTCCCAAGCGGTCGCTTAATGTCCTCATTTGCGAGTATTTGTGCAGATTTATTTTTATTATTTATTAAAGATTTTTTTTGTATCTCTCATTTGCCTTGTACTTACCGACAACTTTGACAAAACCATATTGCGTCTTTGCCGTCACCGTATTTATTTGACACATATAGCGGCCTTTATCCTCCTCCTGGATGTTATTGATATGCAAGAACCAGGTTCGGTGTTTGTCATGCTTATCATGTGTGACACTAATGCGAGGATTACGCGTTATCACGTGATTGTGTACAGTCAATATGGCTGATTGTTCGAAATGCATCCACGCCACCTGAGGATTTGCGGAAAAAAATACAGGATAAAGAAATAAAATGGTCAGAAAAAGTTTGAGATAAGTTGTGATAGATAAGTTAGTGCTTGAGTTGGAAAAAATGAATAAGGGGTGATTGTGTGAATACAAATTAACACTTTTAGTTATTCATATATTTTGCCTTGCAGGAGTAATAATGTAGAGAAGACATGGTGATTGAAGGGTATTAGTTAATTTATGTATAAACAGAGCTTAACATTTGTCTTAATAGTGAAATAAATATATATTGACTGACCATGACTGATTCATGAAAGGCACGCTGAAATAGCAGAAGGAATAAACTGTAAGGAAATTAAGGAATGACCGAGGTATAGTGAGTTGAGATAAAAGGTTTTCTAAATAATCCGAATCTATGTCTCAGTTAGCAAAGAAAAAGTCACTGAGCAGAGTGTCCAAATTTTTTTGCGATGACGAACCCGGCGTTACCTACCTTCCTCCCAATCGACCAAAGGTCGCGCCTGAATGATAATCGAAAAATCCTACAGACCGGAGACCGACAACCAGTGGCAGTCCGGACTACCCTGAACCCGTGACCGCCTCTTGCCTCTTACAGCATATATCTACAGATTGGCTCATCAGTTGCCTCGCATCAAAGAGAAAGAGGAGACGGAAATTTCTTAATTATTTAAAGCTCTTAGTAAGTAGGTTGTTACATTAAGTCGTTGGCCTAAAAGAATACCAGAACTGCCAGACCACACTAGAAAATTTCAAGAGATTCTGCCAAGAAGGTGGAGCATACTCCCAACTTTACAACAGAGAATGTAAAGGATTTATCGCATCCTTGGTGGCTCTTCCGCTCCCTTCGCATACTTTTTTTATGGACAAGAGAAAAAGTAGCACTGAATTTTAATGCTGTCCCAATCCGTTACTCCAAAAACAAAAGTAGTAAAAAACAGTTGCTCTACCGTCAATCATTTCTAACACACGAAGTGTTTTAACCATGCTCTTGTTTACACTCGGGAATAATATTCAATATTTCGAGCTTGAGTGTTTACGAGAAGCGAATAAAAACCCCTTATCAAGTACCTGCTAAAGAGCATTAGTATACAATATTGCTAAACTGCAATTACGGTAAAGTGCCGGAGCAATGAAAAGTATACCATGCAATACTATTCGCTGTTTAGAAAATGCTCTCCTCTGGTTCATGCAGGTTATCTGTTTCATTTTTATTTTTCAATGTTTTTGTTTTCGAATGCAATTTCAACTCTAGACACTCAAGCACTCATACCAACGGTAAACGTGTTTACAAATACGGTCTCATGATATGCTATTTGCTATGCGTATAGTTGATATTGCTGATTTCGTATATGCACTAATATACAAGAGGGAGAAAGAGCAAAAATTACAGTTGAGTCTACACCCAGCTAACGTTTTGGTCTGATATTGAGTTGAGTTAGGAATTAACGAGCTGCTTGATTCTTAAACAATGTGTTTCAAGAAATATATTCAAATTCAATTAAAAGATAGACTTTTTAACACAAAAGTAAGTTTCTTTCTCAACAGTAGAAAAGTAAGATTCGCTACATGTACTAACCCAATAATACTACAAGGTTAAAGAAACATTGCAGACTGATCTTTGTATATTTGTTTCATTATAAAGAGTGCGTCATTGGAAATAGGTGCACATATTTTCAATAATTGCTTCTTTCTTAGAAATACAATTGAAAATTTTTTGATTTGGTTGGCTTTGAAAAATATTTGTCGAATTGTATTGTATATGAATTAGAATTCCTCATTCATTCTTCTGTGCAATCATGGACAGTGAGAAAGATATGCGTGAGCTAAGTGTTTAGCTTTCTTTAAATGATCCGCAATATAGCTTTCAACGAATTGGAAGGAATGCTAAAGCCGAAGCACTGTTTTCAGGGTAGTAAAAAAGTTTGCAGAGAATCTTAGAGGAGATCGTAAACAAGGTACGGAAAAAAGGCTGCGGTGACCAAAAAAAAAGGTCATGTTAGAGGGAGACCTCTTGTGCGGAGAGTGAAGGCAGAAGCGGTACTGAAGACATATAGAGTGCAGAAAGTACCAGACCGAAACGCTGCGAGAAAGATGACTAGATATGAAACCCTTTATTTCGTGAGAGCACCCAAAATCTGCAGTTTTTAATAACATTTCTGAAGCTGAGTTCCACTGTTATAGAAAAATTAATTCTTTGGATTTTATTACAAACAACGACGTCTTTAATAAAAAATTCACTAAAAGATAATGGATTTTTTATCGACATTTTATTGAATGTTCCCCGATCTGCTTACAACATTAGAATGTGAGATGGGGGTTTCGTATCTAGTCATGTTTGGCTGAGAAGAACTGTGAAGCAAGGATACGAGCTCAGAAATTGAGAAGAGACTTTATGAACAAATTAAGTTTTTGCGTATTGGCTGACGAAACTTACGTCCCGTCTAACTTTTTTCAGCTGTCCGGCCAAGCAGTTTATCTTGCTGATGTTAGACGAAACATCCAGAAAAAATTTAAAACTCAAAAAAAGACAAAGTTTCCGCAACTTGCGGTAAAAGAAGCAAACATTTTGGTACTACAGGTACAATTAATAGTGATCTTTTGGTGAAATAATTTTTGGCCAACTATCATGCTTCTCGCTTCTTTTCGCCTGATCCTGCGATTACAGCAAGCTGGCTCTTAAGTGGTACCGGGAAAATTATATAACGTTCGTTATTAATCGAGAGATATTGGGCGCTGAACAAAAAGGAATTGAAGGCAGCAAAAAGAACCTACAAAGGTCATAGCAGACATTCGACGCAAGTGGTGTACAATGAGTAGAAAGATCGCAGAAAATACCAGTACCGGTGATCGCATTACTGAGAAAGAGTAATACATTTTTTAAATCAAATTGATTAGTTTTTTTAATGAAAATTTTTGAATTATATTTATGGTAATAAACCATGAAATATTTAAAAAATTGTTTGTTGAATATTGAGATATGCCTAAACATCGCTGCACTAAATTCAAATGACTAACTTTTTAGTTTCAACATTTTTCCAAGCTTAGAAAGTCATTTTATATCATTTGATTGCCCACAAACGGTAGAAAAATATTAATATTAATGTTTTGTTGGGTATAAACACAGATGGGAGGATGTAATGTAGGCGTGAGTAAATATGTGTTCTTCCAAGCTACAAATATTTTCAATTCCTCTTACACATATCGATGATGTCGATGACGGTTCAATGATAAGCAGTAAAGAAAAAAGGACGCAAAAAAAAATTGCTGATGATAGACGGGCCAGGTAACAAGAGCTGAGTTGTTTGTTGAGTTAAAAGTGACTGGCAACAGGAGTAGTCAACACGTTGGCCGGATGGCATATTACGGTTAAAAGTGTTAAAAGTATATGTAGGAAAACATGTACATACACGTATATACATATGTGTATGTGCTGTTGGAAGGAAGTGTACTCAACTGTTCTAAAGAAATGTAGCCATAGTGGTGCCGGTGTACAAGTGTTTGGATGTCTCCATGTGTATGTACATACATATTTAAGGTTGAGAGCAACATGAAAGCAAGTTTGCAACAGTAAATAGGCAATACATAGAAAAAGTAAGGTAGGTCTAAGTTAGCGCGAAGTTGAACATTAACTATTCATTCACTCGAAGGCAAACTAAAAATAACTAAATCCAGTCGCCTAACTGTGAGAGATAAGAAAGTACACAAAAGGTAATAATCTAGTAATTTAATCGCAAGCATATTTTTTAAAATATTATTATTATGTAATATATTATGCGGAGCCTTCGTTAAAAAGCTCAACTAGCTCATTCAGTTCACTTGTTTTGGTTTTGTCCTTCTCTTCGTTACACACTTTCTTGTTGACTTTTCAATAGAAATTTGCAGGATCACCATGGCGGTAAGCTGATTTCCTTCAAAATTGTGAATAAACATATGACAAATTCCAAACTGTGTCTATTTATTTACTCCTTGTTGCTAAATCTATTTTAGAAAAATATCTTTGTAGAGTTCTTGTCTATTTTAATTATTTATTTATTATTTTTGAAACCCAGTTGTAGGATCAATGATACTCCTCAAAATAAGGCGAAGTCATAAAGGTGAGAGCAGGCGAACAGAAATCAAGAATTAACGTATATTTTGGTTTTGCTTTTGGGTGGCGGTTGTCAAAATCGTGGAAAATTAATTGGCTTTGAAAAAAGTATTCTCTCTTCACTCAAACCACAATCCCAATGTCACAATAATCAGGATTTTGTCACGCTAACAAATAGAAAATCAAACGAGATCAAGGCACACAAAACATGAACTAAAAATTAATTTTGGCAAATCGCCACGCATAGCGAATGAAAAAACTTGAATAACTTTAAGTAACTTAATCATGTTAAATTCGCCTTGCCCTAAAATATACATATGCAACGGGTTGCCACTTTCAGTGAAATAAGGGCCAATTGTATATCTTCTTCTTCTTTCTTACTTGCTTACACACCGATTATAGCAGAGCTAAAAATTGCGCGTCATTCATTTTCCTCTTTTCGCAGTTTGGCGCCAACTGAAACTACCAGGTATAACCAAGCCCTTCTCCATCGAGTCTTTTAGATGAAGTGCGTTTCTTCATTTTCCTTTGCTTCCATGGAATATTATTATCTATTCAGATCGCATGACCTAACTTCGCTGAAATAAGTTAAAGTCGCCGCATCGGCAGATTTCGTAAGGGACCAAAAATCTCGTAATCAGATGTTGTTACCGTCCATGCTTCCGCACCATATAACAGGAAGATAACTGTTTCTTTGATGACAACAGATTTTTCTTCTTGCTGTCAATTACATATGCTTCTCTTCCTCATTCAGTCTTTAGAAAGAAGAACTTTCTGCATCGTTGTTGAGACCAATGAGGTCAATAGCATCCGCGTATGCCAGCAGCTGCTGTATACACTAAAGAACGATAACGATTAAATACGATGGAACGATGAGCTGTACGAGCTATACGATGATATTGACATAGTTTAGCGA